TATACCCCATTGGGGGTGCTTTTTCTCTCCTCCTACTCTTTCTTTTTCTCTGGTGTACCTTCACTGGAAATTAAAAAGAAAAAAATAAGAGGTTAGGACACACAGGGACACCAGGGATGCAGGTAAGCCACCTGGCAGCATAGATGCTCCATTGAGCTCTTGCTCCATGAACGTGAAGATAGAGAATGCGCTCCTTATCCATCCAGTTTATGTAGGTAAACTTATCAACTAGAGCAGTGTTTTTTTTTTTTTTTTTGAGAGGTTTTCGCTATAGGGCGCGTGCACTCGCCAGACAGACAGAGAGAGACATAGAGACAGAAAGCGAGAAATCACCCCCCAGGGGGGATGGTCACACCGCAATCCTTTCTCCTCCATTCTCCTCTCGGGATCTTGGGCACGCACGCACACATGCCCGGCGTGAGTTTTAAGCCACCGGTCTGGGACGTGAACCACGGTCGACTACATGGGAGTCCAGCGACATAGCCATTACACTAACTGCTGGTTCCCTAGAGCAGTGGTTTTAAGACTGGGATACACGTACCTCCGAGGTACCAAAGTACTCTCAGGGAAACTGGGCCAAGGTTAAAATGTCTTTTTTCAAAAAAAGAGAATTACTTATTTATTTTCATTTATTCATTCATTTAATTTGACGAGAGAGAGAGAGAGAGAGAGAGAGAGAGAAAATCAAGCCACCAGGTCCAGGACTCAAACTGTGGTCAGTCATGTGGGCGTGTCTAGCACCTTAACCATCATGCCACCTGCTGGCCCCCCTTTCTCTTTATTTCATTTTTTTATTATTTTTTTTTGAGAGGTTTTTGCTATAGGGGGTGTGCGCATTTGCCAGAAAGACAGAGAGAGACAGAAAGCGAGAAATCACCCCCCAGGGGGATGGTCATGCTGCAATCCCTTCTCCTTCATTCTCCTCTTGGGATCTTGTGCATGCATGCACACGCGCCTGGCTTGAGTTTAAGTCACCAGGTCCGGGACTTGACCTGCTGTTGACTACATGGGAGTCCAACAATATAGCCATTATGCCAACTCCTGGTTCCCCCAAGGCTAAAATTTCTAAGAATCAATTTCTACACCCTCAAGTTCCATAAATGCTATTTAAAAAAATTGATCAGCATTAGGCTGGCTCCGTGGAAAGACCATATGAGAGCACTGAGAAGGTAGCTATCTACAAGCCAAGAAGTGAGGCCTCAGAAGAAACCAACCCTGCTGACACCCTAATGTTGGACTTCCAGCATCCAGAACTATGAGAAAATAAGTTTTGTTATTTAAACCAAAAAAAAAACAAAACAAAAAAAAAAAACCCAAACAAAACCAAAAAGCAACAAAAAAGAGAAAGAGATTTGCAGCATGACCAGGCCCTTCTCATCTCTCATTGTGTGTGTGTGTGTGTGTGTGTGTGTGTATGTATCTATGGTTTCTCTCTTGTGCACACACACTTGCATGTGCACACACAATGGCATGAAAAACAAGCAAACAAAAAACTGTGGATAGGGACCAGGTAGTGTGCAGTAGTAACACACTTGGGCCCACATGGGAAAAATCCTGGGTTCATAATCTGAGACCTTCCTGAACATGTTAGGCTGGCTGAGATTGGGGGTGGATCGTGGCATGAAGATCCTGTTGGAGGTCTCTCTCCCTGTCTCATAGAAGAAATAAACAAATTTTTAATGAAAGAAAAAAGGGGCCAGCAGGTGGTGTGGTGGTTAAAGGAACTGGATTCCCACAGGACCAATCATGGTTTTTGAGTCCCGGACTCGAAATCACGCTGGGTGCATGTGTGCATGCCCAAAACCCCAAGAGGAGAAGGGATTACAGTGTGCTATTCCCCCTGAGGGGTGATTTCTCACTTTCTCTTTGTCTCTAGGGAGCCCACATACCCTATGACAAAAGCCTTAAAGAAAGAAAAAAAGACTCATCCCTAATCATAAGGGAGATGCAAATCAAAACCACAATGAGATACCACCTAAACCCAGTAAGAATGGTTAAGATTAAAAAACAAAACATGATAAGAGCTGGTGAGGCTGTGGTGAAAGGGCAACATAAAATCCAAGAGGAGGAAGTGCTACCAGGCCTCAGAATACAGCAACCAGGGAGTGCAAAACTCTCAACAGCCAATGGCAGTTCATCCTCCATCTATGGTCTTTAGGAGACTCTCATCTCTACCTCTCTGAACATTTCTCTCTCTTTCTGTCTCCCCAGATGGGCTTTCTCTCCTTCAGCATGCGCACAGCCAATTATGGCTGCCCTATTGTGGCATCTCAGGATATCATTAGCTGGCACTGCCCAGTCAAGGATCCACCCAATCAGCTATAGCTAGGAAACCAGAATCCTGTAGCCCAGTGCCTACTCAGCAGAAGGCAGGCAATTCGATTAGCTTGTCCAATCCATGTGTTTACCAAATTCATTAGAATAGGCCTGCAAAAACAGATTGGTAGAAATATTTGCTGAAGGTGCACCTCCTCACTGTGAGAAAAGTACCAGGGAAGTGAGTAACATTCATGATATGGCTTGGTGTGCTTGGCTCTGATGAAGAGTATTGGGTAATCTCATGGCCTATTCGGCAAACCAGGATGGCCTGTGACATCTGCCATAACTACAGGGGTGTTTCTACCAAGGCGACCTGAATGCAGGATTTGCTGACCATGGCATCTGTTCTTCCATGGAAATTCTTACTTTTTTGACTCCTGTGTTTTGACCTCCAATCCCAAAGTTTATTTATAGACTTCATTTCTTATCATAATCACCTTCTTGTCTGTCCAACTGAGGATATCCCTAAAACTTCTAGAATTAAGTATTCTAGAAGTCCTCAGACATTATTCTTCCCTACTTTATTGCCAGAAGATAACACAAACCTCATGTTCTTAAAATCCTTGCCATTGACCTGAAGTCTATAAATATAAGGATCAACATTTATTTTCTGGTATATCAAGAAAAATGCATTTTCAGATATGAATTACTATCTTAAAAGCCATCTGTTTCTTCTTTTAAAAAATTGGAGGCCAGCAGGTGGCATAGTCGTTGAGGGTGCATTAAATAATTCTTTTTTTTTTTCCTTTGGAAAAGCTTT